AGGCCCCCCCCGCCCTCGCCACTGTGGGCAGCCCAGGGTCCCCAGAGAACGCCCCCTCCCCCACCGGGTTCCCGCTCAGCCCGCCGCCCCGCCTCCTTCTCCTCTCCCTCCTCCACCCCCCTCCCCTTCCCTCCTCCACCTCCCAGCCAGGCCCGCCGCCCTCGGCCTCCGCTTCCCTTCGCGGCTCTACCAGGCACTGCCCGGCGGCCCGGAGCGCTCAGCAGGGCGGCTTTCCAAACCAGCGCCCGGCCCTGCCTTGGCGCTCGCTTCTCCCAAGACCTGCATGCTAGGTGCGGGGAGGGGGCGTTGGGTGCGCGACTGAGGCGCCCTCCCCCAGCTCTGTTTTCACAGCGTCCTGCCTGAGGCCCTTGGAGAGGCCCGGGAGGGTCTGAGGACCCAGCCCGGGTCCTGCACAGCCGGGTACTGGCTCAGGACCTTGCCCGAGTTCAAAGCGCAGGCCAGCCCGCAGGCTGCAAGGGAGAGCCCGGGCCACCCGAACTCGCTCCCGCCTTTCGCGCCGCAGCCTTCCGGGCCGGGCTCGCCCAGGCTGCTCACGCCGGCTGGGCCGGCCTCCTGCGGGGCTGTAGGCTGGGACCATGCACAGCGGCGCTGTGCAGACTTGCTCCGAAAGATTCCTGGGTTCAGACCTGTGAATCGCCCCAGGGTCACCCTCTAATGAATGATGTCGTTCTCACCCTCTCCCCAGCTGCAAGCCTGCCTCCCAGAAACGAAATCTGCCGCTCTGACAGCTCGGTTGAAGGTGATTGATGACTATCTAGAGACCGTGGTACACATCATATAATATCTGCTGCGTAACTGCTTTAATTTACAGCTGAAAATCCGGGTTCTCCCATCGCCTTGGCCCGCGGCCGGCCAAGTCCGAGCGGCTTGCGAAGGGAAACCATCGAAAATAATGAATAGGTGTTCCATGCAAATTATTCAGTTTAGCGTCCGTAGCCCAGAGAGATATATAAAGAACAGGAGTCAAATGACATTAATAATTGTTTTGAGTTCTGTATTGATCTCATGGTCGGCGTGCTTATTCTTTCTCACCTGAATTGCTAATATCACCTTCCTGTAAATAATAAGAAACTAGCCACCGGCTTCCCGGGTAGAAATGAATCTCTCAGTATCTCCCTCTGCCTCCTCTGTCCTCCCCACCCCTCCCCCAGACTCCCCTTCTGGAGGGAGCGGCTTCCTGCCTGCCCTTACTCACTGTTTACAAACAACCCCCTCCCAGTAGTGGGGCAGCCTGGCCAGGGAGGGGCACCAGCGGGGGCAGCAGGGCCTGGGAGTGCAGCCCTGAGGCTGGCGCTCAGACTCCGGTTCCCCTCACCCAGTCCCCCATGCCAGGACCCTGGCCCCGGGGAAGGAAAGCCCGGCCAGGGCCCAGCAGCCTGTGTCCTGAGCCTCCGACTGCTGCTGGGAGTGTCCAGCGGCCCAGGCCTGTGCTGCCTTTTCTTCCCTGGGCACCTGCTGGCTCGCTGCACTGGGGAAGGGTCTCTCTGACCCGGGCCATTCTTCTTCCCAGCAGCTCCACTCTCCTGGACCTCCTGGAACCTCTCTACCTCCCAGAGCAGTCCTAGAAGAGGGTTCCAGGGCCTTCCCATCCAGTGGCCTGCACCATGCTCTTCCAGCCTGCAGGTAGGTAGACTTGCTAGCAGGTGCTGGGGAGGCCCTTTCTCCCCTGATTTAGAGTCTGGCTCAGGGATTGGTCTTTCCCAGGGCTAGCCTGGCTCAGAGCACCACTTTCCACCCTCCCCCAGCCCAAGTGGGCCTGGGGGCTTGGCCT